AGTGACACAGGAGAATGCAGAAAATTGGCAAAACTTCTACTTCTTGAGTAAGAAAAAGAAGAATCTCATCAAGAACCCATGTGGTGAAGGTGAGAGACAAGCATAACAAGCCCCAAGATTTCATAGAGATGACCAGTCACTAGGAACTGAGCATCATCTCCAGTCTTTGGAAAAAGCTTTTAGTTGCCATCAGGTTGCAGCATTTTCCTCTTGCCCAAGTCAAATCACTTAATGCATGCAGTCAAATCATTTAATGGGCATAAAGGCCTTTGACAATCTGCCTTTACAGAGGGCTCTACTTGACAACAACTTTATATAAGCCCCTGCAGGGATAAGAATCACATTCGAGAGACAAAAAATGTCCTTTGCTGTAATGGTAGTGGCATCTGGGTTTCCAGATTGCTCCTTGCCCACCCATGACAGGAAAGATCAAGCCTTTCCCCACTCAGGAGCTAGCCTGCCCTTAGCTCACCAGGTATTTCAAGGCTTCCTTCCTTGAAGCAGCTCAGACAAATCTCATTTGTACCTTCCTGACTACAGCCCGTGTTACAGAGCTGTGCACATACCCCATTTGCCATTATTCTGATAATTTATGAACTTCACTTGCCAGATCTACAAGATGCTTAGCAATAAGCAGCAGTAACCAAGTCTCATAACCCAAGCAGCAGCAAATACATTTCACACATCATAGACCAAAGCAATATCAACACAGCTTCTCCATTTTGTTTACAGATTATTTTTCTGCAAGCTTTTCCAACATCCACTTTCCCTCTGGCTAAGACCAGAAAAGCCCAATGTTAACAGTCATACTGCTTCTAGAAATACCACTTAGCAATTTAGAAATAAAGCAATCAGCATCTCTCCCCAGGCTATTCCTATGTTATGACACTGAAAGTGCTGACACACAGTTCAGAATAGCTAAATAATTTCACTGGAGTACTTTCTTAAATAAACCCACAGGTACATAGCCATTTTGGTGGGGAACGTTAAAGTTTGTTAATATTAAGTTCAACCAGACTAAAGGTTTTTGCCTGACCTCTACTAACCAACATCTCCACAGCCTACACAGAAAATTAGTGCTGCACCTAACAGCATACCTTTCACAAGCCGGAGAAAGGTTCCAGCGGGAGAAGGTCAGGTTCCCCAGGCCCTCAGAACCTAAGACTCATCCAAGTCTCTTTTCTGCCATTTGCAGAAGACTTGCAGCACTGGGGAGAGGTAGAGAATGGAGGTGATGGCTGGAAAATTGAAGAGCTCCCCGGGGACTTTGGAAAAGAATTCCCTAGTGAAGAAGTCCATAAATACTTTGTTACATCTTATGAGTAAGGCTGCTTTCTTCTCTCATTCAGGGAAGGGGACATTTTTGGTTCCCCCTGTCCCAGGAGAGGCCGTGATACCAATTAATATCTTGCATTTCAGGTGGTGTCGAAAGGCTCAGGTCATTGACCTTAGGGCTGAGGGCTACTGGGAAGAGTTGATGGATACAACCCAGCCTAAAATTGTGGTAAAAGACTGGTAAGTAGCAAGGATGCCTCAGAAGGTAGGCAGAGTCTCGAGAAGGAAGGGCAAGGAGGGCTTATACCTGCACTGGGCCTTAAAACCTCAGCTGCCAGATCCCCTAGATGTGAGACAGTGCTGGGTCTTGGCTTACTGAGCCACCAGCAGCTCCCACAAGCTTCAAACTGTTGGTGCATATGGCCTCTAAAGACCAGGTTCCTGTTATGAATGAGGGGAGGTGGTGGGTTGGGGTAAGGACCATTACAGATTTCCACCTCAAACCAAGGCCCCAGTAACTTGATGAGATTGGTAGAGCTTGCATTCAGCCAGATGCAGTTGCATGCTCTGGATCTTTGCCGAGTTCACACAGGTAAGACTAGCAGCTTGGATCTCCTTGCAGGTATGCAGGACGCAGCGATGCCGGCTGCCTCTATGAGCTCTGTGTGAAGCTGCTCTCAGAGAATGAAGATGTTCTGGCTGAGTACAAAAGTGAGACTATTGCCATCCCACAGGACAACGATGCCAACTGGACTGAGGTGAGTTACAGCTGTGGGCTCAGCAGGGGACACCCAGCCTGCATGATTCAGGAATATTTTCAAGTAGAGAGAAGCAGGAGAGCTCTCCTGGAGGAGGAGAAGGCTTTGTCATGTGTTCTGTGGAGCCATGACCCTGTGATTGAACAAAGGGACTATACTGGAAGGCTACCTTACATAGAACTTGGAAACTGGCTGAGCCACCACTGCAGGTGTAAGATGAAGGAGATGCCCAACTGGGAGAGGTTCAATGGCCTCTGAACAACAATGGGATCAAAGCTGCTCCCAGTAACTCCCACTGTAAATGTCCTCAATTGTTACCTAACCTGGTAGGTATGACTCAGGCAGGTGGGGTTGAAGGCTCTGTGCACTAAAGAAGGGTAGGTTCATGGTGGTTTGATGCTTACCAACAACCATTTTGTCTCTCATCCCAAAGATCTCCCACACCTTTTCCAACTATGGGCCTGGGGTCCGCTTTGTCTGCTTCGAACATGGTGGCCAGGACACACTATTCTGGAAGGGATGGTATGGTGTACGTGTTACTAACAGCAGCGTGACAGTGGAGCCATAGCCGTGCTGAACTGGGGTCTGCATGCTGGAGCCGACTTCCCTCAGGGCATCCCATGGCCTTTGGATGGTTTCTACATGGTGCTGCTTCTGGGCTGTACAGCATACAACCTTTCTGTGTATGCATGTGCATGTGCAAGATGCCAGGGGCCACCATCCATCCTTCCTCAAGGGGACTATGCAAATAGATTTGTGAATGCACCACGTTAGACTCAGCCTCACCACTTGCACTGATGTTCTCCATCAGACATGAGATCACCTAAAAATCCTGCAGATCTTACTTCTCTCCTAAGCCTTTAAGTACTTTAAGCAGTACTTTGGGCGTATTTTCTGGAAGTTAAAGAGTAGAAAAAAAAAGGAGGAAAGAAAAGCATAGACCTTGTGTCTGAGAACATACCAGGGAGACCCAGAGCCCTGTCACATCTGTGTCACCAACTGCTTCCATGACCCGCAGTGAAATCCTTAGCTTCTGCCCTTTATAAACAAGAGATGTCATTGCTTGCCTCACAGGAGCTCTAGCTTGGCTGCCAAGTGCTTAATTTTTAGTGATGATAATGCAAAGCAATAGGGATTGGGTCCTTTTCTCTTACACTGTTCCCAGCATCCATTTATCAAAGCAAGTGTCAGGAGCTGAAACCTCTGTGGTGTCCAACCCTGGAACTTCATTTGGCTCCCTCAGACAGCAACTGAGAGTAATCGCTAGGAGAGAGATGACAAGGACTTAGGGAAATGGGTTAGAAGCAAATTGGGGAGGGGGTCCAGGAACAAATGAAAACAAACTCATCTACCCCTTCCTCACCTCTGCATGCTTCATGCAACAAGCACCCTGGTCATCCAGTGTGACTCTTTGCAGGCTGGAAATATTCTTCACACAGAAAGCTGTTGTTAGCCCCACTTGATCTCAGTTCTTCCTGCTACTAACAGCATCTGCAAAAAGTACATGTCTTCCTCCACTCCATATGCTCACTGACAAGACAGCACGTTGTACATACTCCCACTAGTGCCTCTCGATATTGCTCAGGGCTGTGAGCCACCATCCCGAACAAAGGCACCTAAGCTTCCCTGAGCCAAGCCTGTCCCCACTAGTCAGTCCTCTCAGAAGAGCATCCCCTTAATAGAGCTGGTGTTGCCTAGAGAGATAGGCACTTACATTTGTGTCCGTCTGTCTTCCCTTCCTGGGCTGCCAGCACATACATACTTGAATGACACTTTGCATCAAAGTGCACCATTACAAATGCAGTGTACTACTATTACCTGTAGCCAAAGAAAGAGCTTTGAGCTGGTCACTTTGTGCACACTGCTTCATCGGGCTTTCTGCACTGCTGCACCTGGATGCCTAGGGCACACTGGCTTCCCAAACCACAGCCGTGCCAGGCCAGAGTCCGGGCAAACTTAATAAAATGACACAATTGTGTGTGGATCTTCCCTTGTGTGCTGGGTATTTGTCTCCTGTGCTTAAGCATGCTTTTTCTGTTCAGTTACGTGGAGTGATGTCAACCGGTCCTATCCAAAACACAGGAGTCATTATATCTTGTATAATACCATGAGTCTCTCGGAAGGAGGTACATGCTCTGTTCCCTGACCCAGCAGCCTCAACCTCTCAGAAGCACTTGATGGGCAACGGGTTTGCACAGCAGCAGCAGGCAGAGGTGCACTTAAAATGTAGTGGGAATTCATGCAAGGCACAGAGGGGGTCCAGGAAGGCTCCTACACAGCCCAGTCCTGACAGATGCCCTCCAGGTCACCTGTAACTGTAGCTCTACTGTGAGCTCAGCCTTGGTTCTGACCCAGGAGAGACCAGAACCACTTCAGAATTTAACTCTTTCC